GGGCACACCAGTTTCATTTAGTTAATTTTCGTAAACCAATCGAACAACATCCAGAGAACAATATTATTTGTGTTTTCAAATAATAATTTTAAAAAAGACAAAGTTTTTTAGTAATTTTGATTTACAAAATCTAATTATTCGGCGAAAATTAACTCACAAAATCATTTTTGTTAAAAAAGCTTGTTTAGTGAAAAAGTGCTAACAAATATTCAAACATACAGGTAATTAATTCAACTTTGTCATTAACCTTTTCTTAAAAAATTTCCATAACTTTCAAAAAAAATTTCTATTATGTTTAATATCCTGTTTTGATAATCCACTCATTTATTTTTATCATTTTTATTTTGAACATATTATCATATTTCTGTACATTATTATATTTTTTACAATTTAATTCATTATTTAAGAAAAATCTATTTTCTTTTCCTAAACATATTGTTTGCAAAAATCTCATCAAGATCATGTTTCTTGACAGATGTCCTGAAGATGGAACGTACCTAGTTCCGAAACGTCGACAATAAACAAATAATTAAATAAAGAAATTGTTTTTTTAAAAACTTTTCTTGTTTTTTATTTTGTATTATTTTTGGATTCTTGTTCGAAACTCTACAAAATATACACAAATCCAAGACTCTACCATTCAATATATATATATATACACATAGATAAATAAGCATATATACAGGGCCGGTTCTGGGGTCCTTAGCGCCCGCATGCAACTTTTTTTCTAGCGACCCCCCTCCTATTAATCTTAACTCTTTTAACAGTTTGTCAATAAAATTATATAAATATTCACATATTTTTTAAAAATTATTTTTAATTATTATGGATTTAGTACACAAAAAATTATATATATATATATATATATATATATATATATAATATAAAAGCGTATAAAATACATTGATCTTAAAATTATTTAGAAAATCGAGGAAATTTGCGGGGTGATTATAATCAAATATTTTTAAATTTTCAATTATTTTTAACGTATGTGCAATATTAATATTTAGGTTTTGGAACATTTTACTTATTCATTATGCAATTTATTCTATTGAGCTAAAAAAAACTAGCTTTTCATTTTCAATCATAATACTCGTATTTCATGTTGGATTTTTTAAATTTTAATTTAATTTAATTTTTCATTATTCACATTATCCAAAATTGCGTCGTAAACTTCTCCTTATTGATATCGTAAAAGCCGAATTGTATTTAGTCTTGCTTTCCCGTCATATTCAGAGTATCAGGTTTTAAAGTTAAATTTTTAACGTATTTTAGAAGTATTGTCTAAAAACCAGTAAAAAATGCATTTCTTGAACTATATTGGAAAGTAGATTAAGCAATAAACAGAGCTATTATTCACTAATTTGCAGAGTTATTAATCGGTTAATTGTTTCTACTGATATCACATTGCAAAATAAATATGCTTTTTGTGTCTCCGTATCCCTAGTTAAGTTAGAACGTTTATTATAATTTATTAAGTATTCTAGATTTTATATAAATAAAAACTATAAATAATATATTATAAATTTATTTTCCAAAACTCGTTGCATGCAAGGCAGGACCGGCCCTGTATATATATATATATATATATATATATATATATAAAAATTAATTAGTTTAAATGTTCCAATTATTAATAGCCTGGTTATCACAGTGTAATAGTGTCGTGTATTTTTGTATAATTAATTCTGTAAGTACTTATATATAAGTTATAACTTTATATTATTGCCTCCTACATCATATAAAATCTTTTAGTTTTCCACTGAATGACGGTCTCGATGAAGACCGAAACGTATGGATAAATAAAGTATTTAAAAACTACTTTAGTTTTTTTTTCTTTACTTGGTGTTACTGCCCGATTCTAAATAACTCATCAAAATATATATCAACACCAAACTCACATATTTCAATATATATATATATATATATATATATATATATATATATATATATATATATATATATATATATATATATAGATAGATAGATAGATACTTTATTCAAATTCAACATTTACAATTTAAGTCAATACAATTATACTATAATATAACTAAATTAATATCAGTTATGTTTATGAACAACTCTAAGATTAACCTAATGACAATTAATATTTATCTTGTATTAAAAAATTCATTAATTGAATAGATAGGTTGATCTATAAGATGTTTTTTAACGGCAGCATTGAAACCATTCCTGATATATATATATATATATATATATATACTCTTCTTTTATCTATGCACATATATTATATTATATATTTACATATATATATAATTTTTTTTATTTTTTCTTCTGGTGTGGTATATATCAAATTTTTACTTGTCATTTTAAATCTATTATATTTTAAATTTAATCTTTTTATCCTATCTTATATGTTTACTTATCTATGCTTCTATGGCTTTTATGCTAGTCTCCATAGATAAGTAAACATAAATCAGATCTTATACTTATCCATAGATCAGATCAGATCTTATGCTTATTTATCTTGTAAACTTCGTGTGCTTATTTATCTATGTTGTACAACTTGAACATTTGCAGATTCTATATTATTTTTCATGTTGGTACTTTGCATCGGCTTTTATTATTTATTTGACGTTTCGGAAAAATACGACTAAAATATCTTTAACACTCTATTTAAATTTAAATAAGTATTTTATTTAAAATGTCGGATGGCGATGATGATTTCATGTGTGAGGAAGAAGAAGATTATGGTTTGGTAAAAACAAAATATAAATCTGTATATAAATTTCCTTCTTTAACCAATAAAAAGAGTTCGTTCTGTTTTTAAGGAATATTCAGAAGATAGTAATTCTGAGCCTGATGTCGATTTGGAGAATCAGTACTATAATAGCAAAGCCCTCAAAGAAGACGATCCTGATACTGCATTATGTAGTTTTCAAAAAGTGTTAGATCTTGAAGGTGGTGAGAAGGGTGAATGGGGCTTCAAAGCACTCAAGCAAATGATTAAAATCAATTTTAAACTTGTATGCTATAAATATATTTATATATATATATATATATATATATATATATATATATGTACATTTACTATATAACTTATAAATACTGTTTCAGAACAACTATAATGAAATGATGATAAGATACAAACAGTTACTCACATATATTAAAAGTGCAGTGACTAGAAATCATTCAGAAAAATCTATTAATTCGATATTGGATTACATTTCCACATCTAGAAATGTGCGTATGTATATTTTAAGCTTCTCTATTTTCATTGGAAAAGTAATTTGTATATACATGTTTGAAAACACACACATGAACACACATATGAAAAAAAAATATATATATATATATATATATATATATAGGTATTATTATTAGAATTTTATGTTATTAACTCATTCATAAATTTTGTAAGATGGAGCTATTACAAGACTTTTATGAAACAACATTAGATGCTTTAAAAGATGCCAAGAATGACAGACTATGGTTTAAGACAAATACAAAATTGGGAAAACTGTATTTTGATAGATCTGATTTCACAAAATTAGCGAAAATTCTTAAACAATTACATCTTTCTTGCCAGGTACTGTAAAATAATAAATTTGTAGTTTATTTGATTTCATAAAACAAAAACTTCTAATTTCAGACTGACGATGGTGAAGATGATTTGAAGAAAGGTACTCAGCTTCTTGAAATATATGCTTTGGAAATTCAAATGTATACAGCTCAAAAAAATAATAAAAAGTTGAAGACTCTTTATGAGCAGTCATTGCATATTAAGTCTGCAATTCCTCATCCATTAATTATGGGTGTTATAAGAGGCAAGTATATTTGTTATTGATTAAAAATTAAAATTTCTAAGTAACTAAGTAAGTTAGCCAAGTGTATATTGTCAAAGCCTGTATCTGAATGAATTAATTGCTGTACTGTATTATTTGACTTTTTGAATCATTATCAATAAATATATGAAACTTGATTATTAGAGTGTGGAGGCAAAATGCATTTACGAGAAGGAGAATTTGAGAAAGCTCATACGGATTTTTTTGAAGCATTTAAGAACTATGATGAAAGTGGATCACCAAGAAGAACTACTTGTTTGAAATATCTTGTTTTGGCTAATATGTTTGTATTCGTATATTATCTTCATTTAAGCTTTGATAATATTTTCAAAAATATTTGATTTAAGGTTAATGAAATCAGGAATTAATCCATTTGATTCACAAGAAGCAAAACCATATAAAAATGATCCTGAAATTCTTGCTATGACAAATCTAGTTGTTTCCTATCAAAATAATGATATTAATGAATTTGAAGCAATTTTAAAGCATAATAGAAACAATATAATGGATGATCCATTCATTAGAGAGCATATTGAAGGTATTTTTATTGAAATATTTATCTTTCGCATCTCACATTGTATATTTGAGTATGTGAAAATAGTTGAGTACCAAACTAAAGTTTCCAAATTCTATTAATAATTTTTTTCTTTCTTGTAGATTTGTTGCGAAATATTCGCACTCAAGTATTAATTAAGTTGATTAAACCTTACACTCGCATACACATACCATTTATCTCAAAAGAACTGAATATTGATACTGAAGAAGTTGAAAGTTTATTAGTGTCTTGCATTTTGGACAGTACAATTCAAGGCAGAATAGATCAAGTAAATCAAGTACTAGAACTTGATAAAGAATCTAGATGTGCAGCGAGGTATTTTCACATTATTTTAAACATTATATTTTTTATAATATAAGGTATTATCACACATCTTGATTTTAGATATAATGCCTTGGATAAATGGACAAATCAATTAAATTCCCTGCACCTTGCTGTGGTGAATAAAATGGCATAAGCTTAGTATAAATGATTTTATTTTTTTAAGAAAATGTAATTAAATTCATTAGCAATTAATGTTGTAATATAATTATTGATTTCTACTAATGTTTATTCTTTAGTTATATTTCAATCATATTTCACTTTCAATATAAATTCACTTTTCTTATTTTTAAATTAGATTTTTATTGATCCATAGTACAATTGATATGTCAGTTAAATGAATAGATATGATCTATCAAACAATCCTTTGGTATTTTTCGTGTACTTATTATTTTGTTATATGTTCTTGATGATTCTTTTGGTATTCTGGTTCTTTCTGGATCCGTGATGTTTACGTAATATATACCAAAACGCTCTCTAGAAATGAATATTTATGAAAATATCTTATACATATACTAAGATGTTCCAAACAAATTTAAGAGTTCTTACGTGAATCCACGAAGCCATTCAAAATTGTCTATAATGCTCCATAGGGCATAGCCTTTAACATTGCAGTTATCAATAATTATGGCTTTGAGCATTTCATTCAAGTAACTCTGGAATGAAGATTAAACAGAAATTAATAATGAATTGGAATGGAAAATATTACTTTAATTTTTTAGTTACTTCAAGTATGTAATCAATAAATTAAATCATAAAATGAGTCTACTGACACAAATGTAATGAACTCGATCATGATCATCCAATTGACCATGATCTGAGTATCCGTTTTCGGTAACTATTATTTCAATTCCAGGGTATTCATTTTGAACCCATTTTAAAAGTTTTCGAAATCCTTCTGGAACAACTTTTAACCAAGATGATGCTGCACTGGGCCATGAGGGGTCCGATTCTAATTTTACTTTCTGATCAGTATACCAGGTGTTCGGCTTTCCTGAAATTGCATTGGATGCTAGGCGAGATGTATAATGGTTTAATCCAAGAAAATCAGCAGTGCCTAGGAAAAAAATGTCCATTATTCAGGGTTATTAATATTTTCAATTAAAAATGGTAACTTACCTTTAATATGATCAATCATTGCTTCATCCATTACTGGCAGGCGAGATCGAATTCTATGTTGCTCATCACTAGCTTTTTGAATATTGTCGATCATTACCTTAGGATAATTTCCTCTCTTTGAAAAAATGGGATGTGCATACCATCCGATCTAGGTATAGTAATAAAGGCATTCATTATCAATTATTTTTAATGTATAATACAAGACAATTTTTTACCATAAATTGCATTGCTCGTTCTGCAGCTTCAATGTCTTCGCTTGTATTCGTTTTCGGGTAAAAGTAGTTCTGCACAAGAGTTATACCAACTCTTCCTTTCTGTTTTGCTTTAAATTCAATCTCATATACCCTATAAGCGTTCGCGTGAGATATAAGAACATGATGCGCACACAAGTATTCGCCTACTCCATAACCTTCTATCATGGGAGGCGCGCCCATGTTTACGTAACCATTTAAACATTGTTCAGTCGGTTCGTTGAAAGTTATCCATGTCTTTACCTATTAAAGGCCAAGTACTAGTAAAATAAAATTACTCAAGATGTTTCACATGTTAATAGTGATTTACCATACAACTTTACTTTATATATACTTATATAATTATCTACATTTTATTCCTTCCTTCAGCATAATATATAATTGATTTAATATAAAAGTCTTATGCAAACTTTATATATGTTAATATAAAATCTATATATATATAAGCCTTTTGAGTTTGACAAAAAGTTTATTGATGTAGCGCCCAATCATTGTAATTCAACATATAATAAATAATAATTGTAGAATAGTGTGAGAGGTTTGCCATTGCCATATCACAATGCAGTGCCCGAAATGGACTATTTTCAATATGAATCATATTTTAGATCTATATTTTTAAGTCCTAGGACACATTGTATATATATATATATATATATATATATATATATATATATATATATATATATATATATATATAAATTCTTACTCGGTCGCCCAAACGTTGAAACATCAAACGCGCATAGTCTGTATAGTACGTGGCTATGAGCGGATTTATAAAGCCTCCAAATTCTTGTAAAGGCTGTGGAACATCCCAGTGGAATAGAGTCACCATCGGTTCAATACCGTTTCTTAGTAATTCGTCTATTAAATCAGAATAATATTGGATTCCTTCCTCGTTAATTACGGATGCGTCACCAGTGGGAAGCACTCGTGACCACGATATGGAAAAACGATAAAAATTGACCTGCTCAAAAGTATTTGTTAAATGAATTTAGTATTTGAAAAAAATAGTAATAATTATTTTTCATTACACCAATAGTTTTGAGTGCAGCCACATCTTCTTTAAATTTGTGATAAGAATCACAAGCGACATCAGCGTTTGTAAGATCGGTTACTAAATCTGGCTTGGAATGTATCAGTCTATCCCAGATATTTTCTCCCTTTCCTAATAAGCAAAAGTGAGCTTATATTAAAAATGTATCGAATATCATACAAGTCTTTACTGTTCAATAGATTTAACTAACCACTTTCATTCCATGCTCCTTCAACTTGAAACGCAGCAGTAGCACAACCAAATTGAAAATCTTCTGGAAATGCAAAATCTGACTCTGTTACTTCATCAAACTGGGTAATGATTTCATTCCCGTGGCACCTGTCACTAAATATTTATGAATATGTATCTAATATATATATATATATATATATATATATATATATATAACCATTTATACATTTCCTTATTAATAATCATTTACTTTTTTTATTTGAAATGTGATGTGACATAACATCGAAATATAATAAATCACAAAAATATTATAATATATATATTATATATATATATATATATATATATATATATATATATATGTATCTAATATATATATATATGTATCTAATAATATATATATATATATAATGAAATGTAAAAAAGCCCTTTGGGATAGGAAATGAATCGAATATATATTCAATAAGAACTGCTTTCATTGCGTATATTATTTGCTGTGTATAGTTCTGAATTAAAATGTAAAAACTATAATATAAAGTGCTATTTATAAACGTTTGTACGATAGCTTGTAACTTACCAAACTAATCCAATAGTGCTTAAAACAATCGTTATTTGTAATAACATTTTCACTAATATATGACAAGCATCTTTGGTTAGCATTTGTTTTTAAACTGAGATAACACACTTGATAAATATATTTATCAACTCTGCTAGCAAAACAAATGCTAACCACTATTATTTAATCATCAAAACGATTTGTGCACAGAAGCGTATTTTAATTAATTGCGATCGATGTAAGTGAAATTTATTCATCTCATTGTAAGTAAAATAGGTTTTACTATGCATTCCGAGCGAATAACACACAATATTAGGAGGGCATTATGTGGTCTTTTATTTTTCTTTTGTTATTAATTATTATTAGTTATTATGTTCTTTTGCAAATAAGTTTATTGCTAATAAATTTTATATGTATTTTTTGTGTTTTTCCTGCCATGGTTTGATTACGGTTAAGTGTCGAAAGATTTATTAGAATAAAAAAAATGTTTTATGTATTATATATTATGTATATGAACTATTATGTATTTATTGTAATATTTTATGTTATCACTTCTTCATTAAAATAAGTTTGTAATTTTAAGTTGTAAGTTGGTACCAACTATATAAAATTTTTATAAATTGGCCCTTATTCGTACAATAAGGCCGAATCAGGTAAAACTGATTATTATTGAGCGGGAATTAGTCATGATTGAACCGCCAACGAGTGCAGACTAAAATATCAACACTTAACCATGTAAGTTATAATCTATATATATATAAGTTATGTGTATAATATAAAAATGAATCGCAAAATTTGTTGGTAAGCGCATAACTCAGCACCGCCTGGACCAATTTTGCCAATTCTTTTTTTTAAAATGTTTGTTGAAGTCCAAGGATGGTTCTCACGACGAGAAAAAAATCGAATAATTGTCAAGAAAATCCTAAAAACAGCTCTTTTCTTTTTCACATATAAACGTTTTCTAACTAAAACGTAGAATCAATTTGAGCTTTATTGCTATCGGTGTTGTATAACGTGTCCTAAGAACAATATTAAGCTACATATGAAAAAGCGTTTTTTATTTCGTTCGATATTTAATTGTTGTATTTGAAGTCATCTACCGGCGAGGTGTTATCTATTATATAACAATAAGTTAGGTTTTCTTTCCTGATATCACTCCAGAACGCACCAACCGATTTCGAAGATTTTGCATTCGTTGGAAAGGTCTCGGGCTCCGTGAGGTTTATAACAAAGAAAATTGAAGAAAAAAATCCAGAAAAGTGGAAAAATTGTTTTTCACATGCAGCGTCATATCTGATACTTAGCATGTACTACAAACCAATATTTTAAGTAGACGGCGCCGGTAGATAAAGATACATTGTTTGACACCTACTTTGATTAATTACTCTTACCAACGACTTTTGCCGATTTGTAGACTCTCAATTAGCTTTTATTGAAAATGTTTTCCCAAACATTATGGAGAATTATCAGAATTATGTTTGGTTAAGTCAACGGGCAATTCTTGCCGCAAAGAATAATGATGTACACGCACTGAATTTCACCATTCAAAAATTCCAGCAATCAAAAATTGCTGGCGATTTGGTGACATACAAATCCATTGATTCCATAACAAATCCCGATGATGTAGTAAATTATCCAACGGAGTTTTGAACTCTGGAGTTACCAGGATTTCCACCACATAACTTGCAACTCAGAGTTGGTACAGTTATTATAATATTGCGTAGTTTAAATTTTAAACCGCAACTTTGCAACGGTATTCGACTTTCGGTAAAAAGACTTTGATTGCCAAAGCCAAATTTGATTGAGGCAACCATTATTAACGGAAAGTACGCAGGTGAAAATGTATGTATTCCTTGAATACCAATGATTCCGACTGGTCTTCCGTTTGACTTCAAACGATTGCAATTTCCAGTTCGCCTTGCGTTCGCAATGACAATTAACAAGTCGCAAGGCCAATCGCTTAGTGTTTGCGGGATAAATTTAGAAAATCATTGTTTTTCACATGGGCAGTTATACGATGCGTGTTCACGAGTTGGGAAACCATCCGCTCTGTTTGTGTTAACGTCAGACTAAAAAACAAAAAGTGTGGTTCACCAAAAAGCACTTCAATGAAACGGATAATTTGTGGACACGTATAACTCTTCGATTCAGTATTTACTTTGGATTTACTTTCATTTACTTAGAGAAGTTCAACTAAAAAACACTTTATTTTTGTAATTGAAATAAATTTATCACTGTTGTGTAATTTTTTTTTTCTTTTTTTTTTTTTTAATTTTTATTTTCAATAGCAATCAGAATACATGCGACTATTCTATGAGCTATTTGGCTTATGTCATTCACTCACACACATACACCCACACTTGCAAACACACATATAAATTTATCGGATCAATATTACAATCATATTTAGAGAATCACTTCAATAAATGATTCAATTATTCTGTTCATATTATCTAAGGTTCCTCCATATTATCTTCGGGCAGCTTCTTCTTCAGTCTTCTTGAAGTTGATGTCTCAAGAAGCTGAGAGACTATATTGTTTGAATGATGTTGTAGTTTTTGAAAATGTTTTATACTGTTGATTTGTATTATTTTGTTTATAAAATCAATATGAAGATCGTCGTGTAAAGTTTTGTTACTAACTGTTGTGTAATGAAATAAAATTTTTCCTTTTCAAATATAAAACAAAAAAAATCCTCATTTTTCTCACGAAACCATCTGGTGGCGAAACGGAGTTCGCCGGATTTGCTAGTATTATATATATTCCATGGGGTTTTATAGTGCTCAAAATAAGCTATAAAATGTGTACTGTTAAGGTTTTTTTTTAAATTTAAATCATATAGTTTGATGAGTGCCATTTCCACCAAAATTAAAGTTAATCGTATTTCATATATAATTAACTTGGTTCAAGAGATTTCAAAATATCATGCAAATAAGTAATAATGTATATCGAATTATTATTAAAAAAATGTAATTTTGATATTATTACTGAAAACTATTAATATATAGTACGCGATTATAAAAATTATGGGCAACATTATTGAAGCAATTGGTGATATTGTACCTTTACCGCGGATATATATTAATTCTTTCTGAATTCGTTATACTATTTAAAATACTGCAATTGTCCAATACGTATATCTTATGCTATAAATCACAAAAGCAGATGAATTTTGAAAAATCGATATTTTAGTCGTGAATAAACAAAAAATCATCTATACACCTACACATGTATGACTAAAAACATTGTATACCACAGGCATTAAAAAAATTGAGCTATTGGAAATGAATTTGTTCAATAAATTGTAGTGTATATTTCTATAATATACTATTTTATATAACATATTTCAATATTTGTTTGTTTGATGGTTTTACGTGGCTGATTTGAATTTCACAGTATAATAAAGACTTGTTTGGAACCGGAGACCCATCATTTTATTTAGAGCAGTTCTACATTTAAAATCACCCATGTGGATGTATATACATTTCGGTATAGACTGTAGTGTAAAAAACATAATAATTTTTAACTAATTGTTAAATATCAGTGTAGGTTTTTAAAAAAAATTGAAATTTTGAATTGTCTGTCAGGCCATATAGTTTAAAATAAAATGGATAAATCTTAAAAAGTGTTTATTTTTGCATATCAAGAAGAGAACCGGTAATTGATATCTATTCAATATATATACACATTTGCAAAAAAAAATTATAAATAAATAGGTTTATCAAGATATCTCATAGAATAAATTCCGATCCTATTTAAAAGTGGAAACAAAATACACATCATATGGATTAATTTCGTACCTTCCAGTATCAAAGTTTTTTCTGACTATTTCGAACATCCCATCCTCCATGATTTTATTACTAAGATCATAATCAAGAAAGAAGCTGATGAACTAAATACCGGTCACCTAATGGACCATTATTAATACTTTCAGGGTTCACCTTTAATTAGTCAATATAAGGCGTCTTTTAAATGAAATATATTAACGATCCAATAATCCGTCTTCCTGCTGGTAATTATGAGTCGTTAGTACGAAAGTGCACATGCTGAAATATTGATACTTATTAAGTGGATTAAGAATCAGGGTGATGGCGGATGATTATCAAAATTAAATTAAAATTTCAAAATTTAACTTTCCGCAGGGTGAGTTATAGTAATTGCAAAAAAAATCGAAAACCGAGCAATTAAATAAAATTTAACCCTCCGTCGGGCGCAGTCCCGTTACGCACACGTTCGGGCGCAGTGTATCCGACAGCAACGGTTTTTAAGTATATCCTCAGGAGGCTCCTTATTTTATAAACATGTTAATTTTTTGTTTAATTAAATTTCAGAATGTATACTTTTTGAATAAATAGAAAAAAAGAAGAATTCAATAATATTTTATTATAAAATGTAGAAAAATATAAATCTGTGTATATATGCACAAATTATTTACACTCACTTTTCTTTATTGAAATACACAGTCTTTAACTTTTTTTTCATTTGTCACTTTATAAAAAATAAGTAATATAATAATGATAGTTTAATGTGTATAGTTAAATATTATCATTTATTGAAGCATTTCAACAAGGACTGCATAGAAAGATCGCATGTTGAAAACACAGTGCTTTTCGACATTTTTTTTTTTTTTTTTTTTATTTTTTTATATATATATACATTATTTTCATATCTCAGTCAGGCAGAGTTGCCTGGTATGAGAGATTATGAAAACAGTTTTCATATAATATATACATTTCATTTGACTATAATAATCTATTTCATTAATATAATATCTATATATAACTAAAAATATCTTTATATATCACTCTTCAGTCTTCTTGGTCTTCAATTTCCTTATAGTGTTTTTTTATTTTTCTTTTAAATTTATCGTCATCTTTGGTCATCTTAATATTGTTTGGCAATTCGTTATATGTTTTGCTGGCACTCCATATGACATTTTCTCTGAAATTCTTCTTTCTATTGTGTTCAATGTGAAAATTGTTGTGTTGTCTAGTATAGTGTTCATGTATATCTTGATTTATGTCTATTGTTGTGCTTGTTTTAATTCGGTTAAATTTCATTTTGTGTATTAGTTTGCATTTCTCTATTTTAATTATGTTATTTAGTGAAAGATTATTTGTTTCTCTCTGTAAGTATTTG